AGACGGGGGAAAGAAGAAAGAGGTAAGGAGAGGAGGATGGAAGAGAGAGAAAAAGAAGAAGAGAAGATAGGAAGGGGAAGAGGAAGAGCAGGAGTAGGAGAAAGGGAAGGGAAGAAGGAAGGGAAAGGAGAGGAGGAAGGAAGGAAGTAGAGAAGGGAGGGAAGGAGAAAAGAAAGGGAAAACAAGGAGGTGTTACAAAAGAAGGAAGGGATGGTAAATAAAGCAACCCAAAATGTACATTACAACCTATTAAATGAAATAATAAACATATAAGAATTTTGACCATGTTTTACTGGAGTTCAGTAAAACTCCTTTGCCGTGTCTTTGCACGTGGCAGACCTCAAATTTAACATCTGGTATCAGAGTAAAACTGGAAAAGAACTTTACATGTAGTCCTTGTTTAGCAACCGCTGCCACAAAGTGTGACTGTGTGATTGCAACTGAGCTTCCTGCTTATAAGTGACAAAACTAATCAGTTTCATACAGTACTTTCCCCTACCCAGCCCTTTGCAATGTTCATCCCAATGGTGGGATAATTAGCAAGATGATATTAATGTATGCATTTACATTGGAGAGGAAGGGATTGTAAGAGATTAAACAAGCATGCATGGGGAATACACATTGAAAGTGTGAATCTGACTTCTCTCCCAACTTTATTCTAAAATTATCAAGTTGGAATTAATGTGTGCATTTACATTGGAGAAGAAGGGATTATAAGAGAATAAACAGGCATTCAAGGGGAAACACATTGAAAATATGAATCTGACTGTTCTCTCCCTACTTTATTCTAAAATTAGCAAGTTGGAATTAATGTATGCATTTACATTGGAGAAGAAGGGATTATAAGAGACTAAACAGGCATGCATGGGGAATACACATTGAAAATATGAATCTGACTGTTCTCTCCCTACTTTATTCTAAAATTATCAAGTTGGAATTAATGTGTGCATTTACATCGGAGAAGAAGGGATTATAAAAGAGTAAACAAGCATGCATGGGGAATACACATTGAAAGTGTGAATCTGATTGTTCTCTCCCAACTTTGTTCTAAAACCTTTTTTTTCTTGGACTGAGGTGGAATCTCACCTGGTGGTAAAAGCTTGGATTCCCCCTGGAGAAGCCCTTGCGAGTGGGTGTTTGCTTTTCCTTTTTAGTCATTTTTTGATTTCTTTTGCAAAGTTGCACCCTGGGGAAAAAGAAAGGGAGGCTGAAATTTCGCTAGAGGGCAGTGTGGTAGCGCCAAACATTGCAGGAACACCCCCATCGTTTTCGTTGTTGCTCAAACTGCCTTTTGATTTACAAAGCGAATCTTCTCGAGTCACATCACAAATTAGAAGATTAAAAAGATAAAACTACGACTGGAGTGCAGGAAAAATGTGCCAAGGCAGAGTTACGTCTTGTGGCTAATTAACTAGCCACATTTCCATCCTGTCCCACTCTCAACTTGGAGACAAGGGGGTGTATTGTGAGCTCAGCTGAGCCGTCGCAAAACACAAAGAGGCAACGCAGTGCAGGCAAAACAAGAGGAAAGACACCTTATGTTTTACCCACTAGGCATCACAATCCGCAAAGACCCATTTAAAAAGGAAGATGTAGGCCAGGATGGATGGCACCTCTTATGGGAAGGATTTGTGTCTGTTTTCTTTTTTCCTTTTAAGCAATTGGATCCCATCTTGGTTTCTTCTGTATTGTATTTTTATTGCTTGTTGTATTGTGGGTTGCCCAGAGCTGCTTTGGAGACGAGCAACACCTGCATTGAAACAAACGAGCAATAAATATGATTTCCAAAAGCTTGAACAGGGCTAAGCAAATCTCTAGGGAAACTGTTGCACATTATTGAATAAACCATTAAAATGTAAAATACCGGAAACAAAGACTTATTAGTTTCATCTATAGAATTTTTAAAAAGTTACACAGTTGGGCCCGATGAGCTTCCTTAGGGAGGAGCAGTCTATAAGCAGGGGTCTTNGCGATATGCTGACTCTGTAAACCGCTTAGAGAGGGCTGAAAGCCCTATGAAGCGGTATATAAGTCTAACTGCTATTGCTATTGCTATAGCTCAAGCAAGAAGAAGCACGGGTCATTAAGAGTTGTGGTTGGGCTCTACTAAGCCCCATAGGCTCAACGTTTCAGGACCAAGGAGAGCAACTTTATGCAGGTGGTCCTTGCCTTATGAAAACAATTGTTTCCAGTGCTAAACAATATAGTCATTTAGTGAGTCATACCTGATTTTACAACCTTTTTTCTTTGTTAAGTGGCTTTGCATGCTCATTAAGCCAATCTGGTTTCCACCCATTGACTTCGTTTGTTGGAAGCCTCTCGCAAATCCCATCGAAAGCAATATAAAGGTCCTACAGTCTTTGGATATGCAAGGCCCTTCCTGAAATCATGTGTGGTGAACTGGCCCTTAGACCTGTTGTTCTCTCTCAGCAGCGAAGGGGGTCTTCCAGCTGGCATTTTGGACAACATCTGGACTCTCCCTGTTTTTTTAGTCTTCACTCCCAAGAATATATGATTTTTTTTGGTGATAATCGACTAGATTCCTGAGTTTCATGGTTGACCTTACAAATCTACCTCTGCTTAAACCTATTACAGGAAGGCAGCTAGAAAAAAAATTAGACTTCAGTTGAATGTGAATCTTTCTGTTCCCGTTTAATAAATCTTTAAGATCTGAAGACCACACAATGTGAAATTTAAGGCAAGACAGAACAGAGATGGGCCCAGATTTCTACCACTTTTGTATTTTACACTATTTAGATTAAGCTAATTTTTTTTTTACAAAATGCATTCTTACTTGCAGATGTTACTTAAATTACATCAGGCTTGTGAACTGGTGACCTTTATAAATCTTGCTTGACCCCCATGATTGTATTAAGACTACAGTCCCCACTACTCCCAGCCAAAGTTAGAACAATTTATCAATGGAACGAGGTTGTGGGTGCACTGGAGGTTTTAAAGAAGAGATTGGGTAACCATGATTTGTCTGAAATGGTACAGGTTCCAGATGAGCAGGGGGTTGAACTAGAGGACCTCCAAGGTCCCTTCCAACTCTTATTCTGTTTTTCTGTTAATGTCCAGTTGCTGCACCTTGATGAGAAGTTATATATGGTTAATGAAGGTCACATTTGGGCTTGTTGGCAGTGGAGTGAAAATTACTCATGTTCTGGATATCAGATGCATAGAGATTTTTTTTCTCCACCAAGAATGGGTGACTATTAGATGGATCGAAACAGAGATTTGCATTGCTGGACAAGGAAGATATTTGTTCTTGAAATGTATGATTTGTCTGTTCCCCAAGTTAAATAATAAATAATCACATTTAGATGCTTCAGAAGAATTATATGCACTGCTATATATTAGGTCTCTAGGTGCCTCTTTTTAATTTCCTTCTTCCCAAATCTTTGATTAGACACCTCTAGTCTGAAAATGCTTTTTCCCCCCCCGCAATGTACCTCCAGTTTTTGAGTATTTTGTACGCTTTTCATTTTTGCCTCACTTTGTTTCAGTCTTTCCTTGATGGGTGCCACTCTAACGCAGATTGTTTGGCAGAATCTGTTTACAAAAATCAAATGTACTTAATAAGAAATGTATTTAGCAGAAAGCACATGATTAACCCAATGCTACATAAAAGGGTTTCCTCTTTGTATTTATGCCAATAAAACACATTTGCACTCATGCAGATTTGAAATTGTTTCTTTTGTATGTTACTAGGTTGTATAATGGACAGATTGATTTTTTGCTTCTGGGGCAAAATATTTTGACCGTGTTTCCCCCCCCTTATATATATTTTTTTTAAAT